ACTTCTTGGTACACCCTGATAATAAAGAGTTACAATAATCCAGCCTTGAAGTAACAATTGCATGGACTAGTTTCTCTGCATCGTTTTGAGGCAAGATATGCCTGATTTTTGCAATGTTACGTAGATGGAAGAAGGCGGTCCTTGAGATTGATTTTATGTGGGCGTTCAAGCAAGACAAGAATAGAGACAAGTCCTTTGTCTGAGGCTATTAGAAGGTCATTGTGACTTTAACCAGAGCTGTCTCTGTGCTATGATGTGTTCTAAAGCCAGACTGAAAATCTTCAAATAAATCATTGTTTTTTAAGTAATCACAAACTGTTTTGCGACCGCTTTCTCAATATTTTTTGTGAGGAACGGAAGATTAGAAATAGGTCTATAATTGGCTAAAACCTCTGGATCGAGGTTGTGCTTTTTAAGAAGCGGTTTTATCACTGCTACTTTAAAGGATTGTGGGACATAGCCTGATAATAAAGACATATTCATAATATTTAATAAAGAAGTGTTAATTAATGGAAAAACTTCCTTTAAAGGTAGGGTAGGTAAGTTTGAGAAACCGGCTCGAGATCGCTAGAATTTGAAAATACACAGCCGGAAAAAATCTGCCACTTCCTTACAGAGCCCCTCCTCCAACACACACAAACGCGCACATGACCAATGAGGGCACGAGATACGTTTGTGCACAGATGGAAGGCTGACAGGCAGGTAGGCCATCCAGTTATTTTAGCCGGGCCGGCTAAAATGATTGGTCGTGCTTTTTACAGTACTACGGCTTCCACAGATGACATTTTTTTATGGATTCTTTGTCAAAGCACTTAAGATATTCATTGCTATCGGGATGTTAAGAGCATTCCATGGAATATAACAAAAAGTGTATCTCGAGCCGGTTTCTCAAACTTACCTACCCCACCTTTGACTAAAAAAGAAAATACTACAGTCCAAAAATACTCCATCACAAGGAACATTCCTGCTTTCAAAATGCCACTTAAGTAAAAATACAGAAATATCGTTAGCAAAATATACTTACAGTATACCTACTTAATGTGCAAATGAAAGTGTTCACAGTATTGTATTATTATGGAATACCAAAGAGATTCAACAAAAAATATGTAAAAGAGCATTTTAATGTTGTAAAACTGGTAAAAAAGTTACACAAGATAAATAAGGCACATGCGGCAAGCAAACGTCAATCAAGACAGGGAGGCGTCAAAAAGGGACAAGGAATTCGAGTTTAAGATGCAGGACGTCTATGGTTATTACAGATAACTGAGAATCAGCTTTAGACATGACACAATTTTATTCTATTTGTCTGTGATGGCATGAATACGGTCGATTACTTTTGGTTTTGATTGTGTGTGTTTTTTATTCAATGGTATTTACTTTAAAATACAAAGAGGTAACTGCCAATGTGAGCGCATGATGTATTTTTTTATTGTTTTTTTTTTACATTAAAATCACCATCAACAACAACAAATTAAACACTAGAGAGGTCACATTTTGGCAGTATTTATCTATCTGCTTCTATCCCTGCAGTTGTTTTGAAAAGTGGATTAGTAGAAAGTAGATGTTCAAACATTGACCGTAAAGTCAGCAATATGAAGGTATTATGCATCCATTTGGATACTGGTCCTTTAGTGATTATCATAGTATCGATACTACACTCAAGTCGCTGAAATGCTTGTTTTTCCTTATTAGGGAAGCGTTTCACTCCAAATCCAGAGTGAGCAATCTATCATGGCCTCCCATGACTTGCTTCAGTAGAAATGTTACAGTGCCAGGAAAGGTTTGGCAGTATACAAACTGTTTGAGTGGCCATGCAGTGCCATGGTTAAAGTCCCTGTTGTCCCATGACTTTGTGTGGCCCTGTCCTCATGCTACCCCTCTTCAGTCAGTTCATGGGTCAATGACCGGTGGTTTGAACGCAGAAAAGCAGTGAGAAAAGCTAAACAGAGAAAACGCAGAGGCTGGTAGGCAAACGTCCAAAAAGACAGACACGGGTCAAAGGTGAGGCAGACAAGGAATTAGATCTGAAGATGCTAGACATCTAAGGCACAGTTAACTGGGAATATGCTGTAGACATGACAGAATATTATAGTATTTGTCTATATTTATGTGATGGCATGAATACGGTTGATTAATTGGTTTTGATTGTTTGTGTGTTTATTATTTGTATGTATTGACTTTAAACAACAAAGAGGGATCTGCAAATGTAAAAGCATAATGTACATTTTGTAAATGTTGTATATTTTACATTTAAAACACAAGCAATACAAAAAAACAGTACAACAAACTACAAAGGTCACAGTTTGGAAGTATTTATCTCACCTGCTTTTAGCCTGGCTCTTATTTTGAAAAGTTTGTTTTATCTGGTTATTAGTTTTAAACATTGACAGTAAAGTCAGCAATATGAAGGTCTTATGCATCCATTTTTATGGCCTTTCAGTAAATATCATAGACTTGTCTTTTGTGTGAGGAATGCACCAACATCTATAAGAGGAAAGTGCTCCTCAATCAGCAGGAATCTGCCCTCTCCTGATCGATCGTAGGTCTGAATGTTGGCCACAATCTCCTTCCAGCATGACAAATTGGCATATATGTACGGTGGCCCTGAAGTGCAAGACACTACACAGCATTTCAGAAAACACTACAGCATTTCAGAAAACACTACAGCATTTCAGAAAACACAACAGCATTTCAGAAAACACTACAGCATTTCAGAAAACACTACAGCATTTCAGAAAACACAACAGCATTTCAGAAAACACTACAGCATTTCAGAAAACACCACAGCATTTCAGAAAACACCACAGCATTTCAGAAAACACTACAGCATTTCAGAAAACACCACAGCATTTCAGAAAACACCACAGCATTTCAGAAAACACTTCAGCATTTCAGAAAACACTACAGCATTTCAGAAAACACCACAGCATTTCAGAAAACACAACAGCATTTCAGAAAACACTACAGCATTTCAGAAAACACTACAGCATTTCAGAAAACACCACAGCATTTCAGAAAACACCACAGCATTTCAGAAAACACTTCAGCATTTCAGAAAACACTACAGCATTTCAGATTGGACGGAAAGGGTATTCCTTTAGGGAGAACACTTCTTGTTTGTGATTGGACAGAGCCAGCCAGAGAAGCACTGCTGTGATTGGTTGTTTTTGCTGCCAATCAAGAAATGATGCTTCGTGATTGGTCAGCACCCGAGCGCAACATGTCCCAACACATCAACCGTTAGCTGTTAGCACACACTCAGAGCTCACAGCTCCTCATATCTGTTCAGAAACTGGACAAAAGTTTTCAATTTCATTTCAAACCTTTATTTAACCAGATTGGTCCCATTGAGATCATAGATCTCATTTTCAAGGGAGACCTGCACAAGTTAAACAAGTACAAACCACAGACTGTCTATGTCATGGTGAATACAGTCGCTGCTTTATTTATGTCTGTATGACGTTGTTGTGAGTGTGGAAGGAGCAGCTACAGGTTAGTTTAGCCTGATGGATCCGATTCCATTCAGAAAACACACATTTTAAAAGCTTTTCGCCTGCCGTCTTGTCTGTAAACTTGTCAAAGCATTAATTCATGGTTTTTACTAACCGGTATCAGTATGTAGTTACTTCGGCATCACTTTGAAACGTGTATTACAATTAAATCACGGTCAAATATGTTCATTTTGTTGTAGTTGGTATCTCCCATAGGATTTACATGGAGATACGCCCCGCCCCCTCTCCAGCGCGTCTTGTTTGAATGACAGGAGCAAACACAGCTGACAGCCGCGGTGAAACTCGAGCAATAAGAGCGATGCGAATATTGGGTAGTCTACCATAGTATTCACATGGAGATAAGCCCCTTAAAATCCATGAATTAATAAAGCATTAATTCATGTTTTTTTCGCATCGCTCTAATCGCTCGAGTTTCACCGCAGCTGTCAGTGTTTGCTCCTGTCATTCAAACAAGACGCGCTGGAGAGGGGGCGGATCGATCAGGCTAAACTAACCTGTAGCTGCTCCGTCCACACTCACAACAGCGTCATACAGACATAAATAAAGCAGCGACTGTATTCGCCATGACACAGACAGTCTGTGGTTTGTACTTGTTTAACTTTTGTCCAGTTTCTGAACAGATATGAGGAGCTGTGAGCTCTGAGTGTGTGCTAACAGCTAACGGTTGATGTGTTGGGACATGTTGCGCTGTCGGGTGCTGACCAATCACGAAGCGCCATTTCTTGACTGGCAGCAAAAACAACCAATCACAGCAGTGCTTCTCTGGCTGGCTCTGTCCAATCACAATCAAGAAGTGTTCTCCCTAAAGGAATACCCTTTCCGTCCAATGTGAAATGCTGTGGTGTTTTCTGAAATGCTGTTGTGTTTTCTGAAATGCTGAAGTGTTTTCTGAAATGCTGTAGTGTTTTCTGAAATGCTGAAGTGTTTTCTGAAATGCTGTGGTGTTTTCTGAAATGCTGAAGTGTTTTCTGAAATGCTGTAGTGTTTTCTGAAATGCTGAAGTGTTTTCTGAAATGCTGTAGTGTTTTCTGAAATGCTGTAGTGTTTTCTGAAATGCTGTTGTGTTTTCTGAAATGCTGTAGTGTTTTCTGAAATGCTGTTGTGTTTTCTGAAATGCTGTTGTGTTTTCTGAAATGCTGTTGTGTTTTCTGAAATGATGTAGTGTTTTCTGAAATGCTGTAGTGTTTTCTGAAATGCTGTAGTGTTTTCTGAAATGCTGCGGCGTTTTGTGAAATGCTGTGGTGTCTTGCACTTAAGGGCCACCGTATATATGAGATATAAGATTTTACAATCGTGTAAAGCTGCGATGCAACGGACAGTTTCTTTTTTTGACTTGCTTCAGTAGAAATGTTACAGTGCCAGGAAAGGTTTGGCAGTATACAAACTGTTTGAGTGGCCATGCAGTGCCATGGTTAAAGGCCCTGTCCTCATGCTACCCCTCTTCAGTCTCCATCACTAACCTCCTGTATCTGTCCCTCCCTCTGAGGTCTATAAAGGGTCCTCGCTGCAGCCGTCTGCTTCATGTATCTCAGCATCATGAAGGGATTACCCACCCTGCTGCTGCTGTGCTCGACGGCTCTGCTCTGCAGCGCTGCTCCAGCTGTGGAGCCGGTGACCTGCAGCGAGGATGGAGGTGCTGCGGCGGCACGGATGGCTGCACATCACATCGACGAGAACCACGACCATGGCTACAAGTTCAAGCTGAGTGAGATCAAAGGCAACAAAGTGGAAAAGGTACAAAATAATTGGCATTACTCAAAATACCTACTTTCTTTATTGAAGTATGGAAGTTTAAGCAGTTATCTTGAGACACATAAAAGTGCAAATGTTACCACTTTTGTAAAAGAAAAAGTGTAAAATAAGTGTAAAAACATATTTGAAGAACACAAATAACTCAACATTATCATCCTAACCGTGTGTTTTTTCTGTTTTGAGGGCTAGAGCAGTTTTAAGATGGACAGCATAGTGACTAAAGGTTGCTTCAGCAAACAGAACTCTGTAAACATGTCTGCGATGTGTTCTGGTCCTGATCCATGTATTGATTCAGTTCTGCTGTGACTGAGAGTGTAGTGAATCTGCTCTGTTTTAGTTTATAACATACAGTTAAGCACACACACACTATTTTATGATCATATAGGTTCACTAAACTTAATTATAAATTGAAAAAATGAACCAAACAAAGTGAAAAAAACATAAAGCATATTCAGGCAGTAGGCGTATAGATTCACACTTAAAGTATTAGCCTACAGAGCAGTACAGTTTACAGAGAACTAATATTTTTAATCCGGCTAGTAATCCCTCATTTAAAATGTAATAGTAATCTGATTAGGTATTTTTTATGTAACTGTAAGGGAATACAGTTACCTTTTTCTTTTTATGTATCGTAATTACGTAATCCTGTTACATGTAATCCGTTAATCCCCAAGCCTGACAACGTTACAGGTTAGATTCCAGCCTTGGCCCCTTCATCGCGTGTCGTGACACCTCTTGGATGTCCAGTGTTTGTATGTTCACTGTTAAATAAAGACAAAAACAAGTTTACAGATGAAGACATCCGTTTAGTTATATAATAATGCATGTATCATTACATTTTCATATAAAAAAGTCTAACCCCCTGCAATATGTAATGACTTAATAAAAAATGTGGCAAAATGTATGAAATGTGTGTGCAAGCTGTTTATCACAAAATGCAGCAGAATATTATAAGATGTAATTTTTTTTACCAAATGAAGATATTTTACATATTTATTCGAAAAAAGAAAAAAAACAGCTGCTGGACCAAACTCTGTTATCGGCCCACAGGGGACTTTCTTACTTATAACATAATCAGTGTTACAACCACCAAAGAAACCATTTCTGAAATGTATTTTCAAAGCCGATCGAATTTAATCATTGAATTAACGGAAGAAAACCTATCAATTTATATTCAATTTTTTCATTAAAATAATTGTAACGGAGATACAATTGTGAGATATTAGGTCACCTATTATGCAAAATGCACTTTTTGATGTCTTTTATACATAAATATGTGTAAGGAGACTCACAAAGTGTCAGAAAATACAACCCTACTTTTCCTCCTTATCTCTAAAAACGGCAGTACAACAGAGCTGATCCAGATTAGCTGCAGTCATGACGACATTAGTAAAATGTGGACTGGCTTTACATTGACCTCTGCCGGTAGAGTAGATATTCTTCTCTTCACAGACTCAGAGCTCACTGCTTGCATGCAGAAAGGGGCGTGGCCAGCAACAGCTCGGGTTTTATTTGAAGCTACTGACCCAGAATCAGCACTTTTGAAACAGGGCGGAAAAAGAGGGGTATGAGCAGGGGTGCACATAACTTTTTTAGTGAGTTACTCAGATGAGTACCAGGAGACAGCGTTTGGTACTCACCCCACATGAAGCGTGGTTTTAATAAGTGCAGTCTTCCTCACTGTCCTCCTCAGTGTCTCCTTCACTGTCCTCTATTTACACTTCTTGCATGCTAGATGATGAAGATGCACCTCCCTGTCTCTTTTTAAGCCTCCGATTTGCTTTCTCCAAAACTTGTTGCCAAAACTGTGAAGTCCTTGCATTTCCTGAGGCCAAGTTGAAGGATCAAATACTAAGAAATTATCACATGACTTGTAGTCATATCTGATTTCAGAGGAGGGAAGTAACAAAGTACATTTATTCAAGTACTGTACTTAGGTACAATTTTCTACTCCACTACAGTTCAGAGGTAAATCATGTACTTTTCCTCCACTACATGTAGTTAATACATTTTAGTTACTTCACAGATCTGGATGAATGATGTGAAATATAATCAAGTCTTAAATCAGACTTTAGTTCCACCTGGAGTAAATTCACAAGCTACCCTGCAGTAGCCTATACAAAGTCATTCAAACTAATTTTTAAACACTTTAATGATCAATAATTATAAAACATATCATATACATTATTATGAAATGGACCAATCTGCAAAATGACTACTTTTACTGTCGCTACTTTAACTAGGTGTTGATGATAATACTTTTCTAATTTTACTTGAGTAACACTTCATCCACCTAACCCTGTCTGATTTCCAACTCTTCCATTAACAGCCTGAGTAAGTTTGCAGGCAGCTGTGTGTTTACTCCACTGTTGTAAATAAAACTGCAGCAGCTTGACCACAGAGCGTGAACGTTGTGATCAGCTGATTTTGCGCAGTTCTCCAGTGTGTGCGCGGGGCACAGAATGTGCACAGGGGAGTCTCCCACTGCAGCCAGTTGATGTAGTTTTGGTACAATTATGTTGTACACACCGACGTTAACAGCAGCTCCGTCTGTGCACACGGCGACCAACTCTGTCGTCCAGTGATCTAAGCCTCTTTCTCCTGTGAAGCTTCACAGGTCCGTCGGTTATGTCCTGCGCGGCACAGCCAGCACCCAGTTCAATCAGTCATAGAAAGTCCGAAGATTTTTGCAGGGAGCGAAACGGCAAAGTGGCTGCTTAATGTCTTTGTTTTTTTTGGACATGTCTAATAATTTACTCCACTGAGTGTTGACAAGAAACACGTATAGACGAAATATGTGTTTTTGTTTTGATGACCTATCAGGTACGCAAAGGCGCGTTGTGACCGTTGTGACACAAGTGACGTTACGCATTTCAGATTGTTGCCGCGCATGCGTACCTGCGTACCAGTTATGTGCACCCCTGGGTATGAGGCATTTTTGTATAGATATGGCCCTATAATATAATTTGTTCAAATATAGCATAATAGGTGAGCTTTAAAATAGGGATATTTCATCATGTAATTAAAAAATTATTTAAATGACCTCAACAGTCTCTTTTATTATGTGCTCACTAAACAATATGTTTATATTGTAGATTTCCAAAGACATGATAGTGTGTCAGGGTGGTGTAGGGAAATTAAAAAAAGCTCCATATCATCTCACTAAGTTCTGCTACTCCGCTCCCTTCATTGGCTACCAGTAGCTGCTCGATTCTGCTACAAGACACTGGTGCTGGCCTAGAGTGCTGTGATTGGATCTGGTCCTTCCTACATCCAGGACATGGTTAAACCATAGGCTCCCCATTGATATCAGGACAGCAGAAAGTCTACACATCTTGCTTCATAGATTGAAAACACATCTGTTTTAACCGTACCGCTGACAGAAATGAAAATGTAGTATTTAAAACATTTGTAATTTGAGAGTATTGCAGTAGAACTCACCATTGATAGTGCACATATGGCTTATTTGAAGCAAATGTATTTGCAGGTTTCTTGGGGTTCTGAGTTTCTATATTTGCTCTTATTGTAGGTCTCTTTGGATAAAGGTGTCATCTAAATGAAAATGAAATGTGACTTACACTCTCTGGTGTTTGCAGGTCGATGACGGCTGTGAAATCGAGCTGCAGTTGGACCTTATGGAGACAACTTGCCACAACATCAACCCGAAGCACTTCGAGGACTGTATGATCCGCAGAGAGACTCCACGGGTAAGTGTTGGATCAGTTACTCTTTAGCCGTATTGTGTCACATTCATGTACAGCCAGACTGACGTATGATTATTGGTTATGTGAGGTCTCGACAGAACAAGCTCTGTGTTTCTCTGTAGGCGGTGATGGCTAACTGCTCCGTTAGGATGAGTGTGAGAAATGGTGACGCCAGAGTCCGAAATTACCATTGTGACACGCGACAAGGTGGGTCTCTGTCATGCAATACACCTGATACGCAACAGAACATTGATAATGGACAATTTGCCCAAAACCCTCAACTTTGGATAGGGTTTTTACTTTTAGATTATTCTTTTCTTTGGGGGCGGGTGGAGGGGAGCAAGGAGTAAGACATGCAGGAATCGAACCCTGTACATTGCAATGCAACCAATCACTCAGAAGGCGCTATTCATGTCTATAATATCTCCATATGAATACTACCATAGAGTTACAGGTGGGGAAACTATTGGTTATGACAGATAAATAATTGTTTGTGTGTGTGTGTTTGCAGTGGTAACAGACAGTGAGAGGATGATGCTCTGCGCTGACTGCCCCAGTCTGATCTCACTTCATCACCCTGATGGTATAAAGTCTGTAAAAGAAGCTGTGCAGAGATTCAACGAGAACACCACCAACCAGAACTACTTCATCCTGAAGGACGTGGGACGGATTCAACTCGGAGTAAAGAATTCAAATACACACACCGTGTTGGCGGGACGTATGTCGTGCTCTACACTACACTGCTCTATTCATTTTATTGTTTATCTGCAATGTTTTTACACCATTGCTAGGCCTTTTGAAGGATTCCCTTAGGACGGGTCCTCGTCAGCCACATCCTTTAGGGGTCCCCGGAAGGTTAGGAGATCTCTAGGCCCCGCTGCTCTGTCTCCTCTGGGATCTGGTCTCCTCTTGCTTTTTTAATTGATTTTACTTATTTGTATTACTTTTAACAGGGCTTTTAGAAACATTCTATGTATTTCCCTTGGAGTTTTTTGAAAGTTTTTTTTTTACCACAATATTATCCCCGAGAGCCGGAGCACTGCCCTTTTCCCTAACCTACAGTAACCAAGTCTTCACCCTAAAATTAATGATCCTCCTCATGGGGACCCCCCATAAGGGAGGTGAGTCCCCACACGTGACTGTGTAAACAGATGTAGGTCCCCACAAGGATAGTAATGCAAGCGCACACACACACACACACACACACACACACACACACACACACACACACACACACACACACACACACACACACACACACACACACACACACACACACACACACACACACACACACACACACACACACACACACACACACACACACACACACACACACACACACACACACACACACACACACACACACACACACACACACACACACACACAATTGTAGCCTCATGCAGTGCTATGTCCTCCTCTTTCAGTGGATGATGACAGGGGCGATCTACTGGGCTCAGATTGCCCTCGTGGAGTCCCATTGCCCAATGGGATCCAGAATCCTTCCTGAGGCATGCATACCCCTCTGCCCTGATCGAGCTGTAAGTACAACTCGTACGAATAGAAGACACTTGGACATATAATCAATGAATTTGCAAGAAACTATCAGACGAAGACAAGTTTTACTTCCAGTTTAAATGCTACTTAAAACACATGGGAAGATCTCAATGACTTGGTCTATAGGTTACCTTGACTCACACTATCGCTTTTAAGTAAGCAAATGATTTTCCTCAGTGTAAATATTACAAACAAATGGTGCCAACATAAATCTCAAAAACAACAAAATATGGAAATAGGTCTAAGAATGTTTTCATCATTTTATTGATGGTACTTTATCATATTACCAACAAATGTAATGTCATGTGACCGACTTTATGATTGACATTGTTTCCCCAGACTACTTTCCGTCAAGTGACAGACCTTGCCTCATGCGACAGACTTAATTTCATGTGTGCAACGTGATATCATGTTACCGACTTTCAATCATGTGACCAACTTTATGATGTTTGACATGCGTCATGTCGTGTTACCAACATTAAATTATGCAACAGACATTATTTAATGTTAACAATATTATGTTGTGTTCTGAATTTCTCTAATTTTACCAATTTTATATCGTTTGACCAGTGTAATGTTATCAGAATCAGAATCAGAAACAGGTTTATTGCCAGGTAGGTTCACACATACTAGGAATTTGACTTGATGTCATGGTGCATACATAAAATATAAAAAACAAGAAATCTAATATGAAACAGAAAATGTTTTTTACACCGTAATAAAATACAGTTAAATAGCAATAAGATAAATAAAGCAGTAGTTTGCAGGGAACTAGAATGCTATGAATGCATTTTTGCATATAAACTAAGAAATGTGAAATCAGAATATGTGCAGAAAGGAGTAGGAACATTGTGTGCATTAATGTAATGCATATAGTCTATAATGTGGCAGAGGTAAAGTATCAGCGGGGGGGCCGGGCCTTGTTTGAGAGGCCGGTAGCGGAGGGGAAGAAACTGTTCAGGTGGCGTGAGGTTTTGGTCCCGATGGAGCGCAGCCTCCTGCCAGAGGGGAGGATGTTACCATTGCCAACCTACAGTAATGTCATGTTACTGACTGTTTATTGACTTTGATATCATGAGATCGACTTTATGCCATGTGAAATATTTTTTCATGTTACCGACACTGTGTCATGTGACCACTATACATCAAGTGACCGTCATTATGTCGTGTGACGTTTTTTATAATGCAATCACAGTGTTGCTCACTGAGATAATTGTCTCTCTCTCTTTTCTCTTTGAAGCGCCATGCTTACTGCCGTTCATCTTACACAAAATCCGAGGGACTCGGGTCTGTTGAGTGCGAATACTACCCTCCAATGGTGAGTCCGCATTCTACACATAAACGCTCATAATACTGTGTTATATATCTATTATTGATCAATTGTGTAACCAGATATATGTGCAGAGATCAGAGGAAGTACTCTGATCCTTTACTTAAAGGTGGGGTAGGTAATTTTGGAGAAACCAGCTCGAGTGCGCTAGAATTTGAAAATACACAACCGGAACAAATCTGCCACTTCCTTACAGAGCCCCTCCTCCAACACACACGAACGCGCACATGACCAATGAGGGCACGAGATAAGTTTGTGCACAGATGGAAGGCTGACAGGCAGGTAGGCCATCCAGTTATTTTAGCCGGGCCGGCTAAAATGATTGGTCGTACTTTTTACAGTATTACGGCTTCCACTGATGACATTTTTTTATGGATTTTTTGTCAAAGCACTTAAAATATTCATTGCTATCGGGATGTTAAGAGCATTCCATGGAATATAACGAAAAGTGTATCTCGAGCCGGTTTCTCAAACTTACCTACCCCACCTTTGACTAAAAAAGAAAATACTACAGTCCAAAAATACTCCATCACAAGGAACATTCCTGCTTTCAAAATGCCACTTAAGTAAAAATACAGAAATATCGTTAGCAAAATATACTTACAGTATACCTACTTAATGTGCAAATGAAAGTGTTCACAGTATTGCATTATTATGGAATACCAAAGAGATTCACCAAAAAATATGTAAAAGAGCATTTTAATGTTGTAATTTGTTAGTCTGGAGACAATATAGATACTTGGTAAAATACTGGGTAGAATAGTAACACAGTACTGCATCATATCATATCAGAGTATTATGTGTATTCACTTGCTACTAGTAACTGTGAGTGTTAAATAAATGGAGTGGAGTATAACATTTGCCTAAAATAAAATGAAAAATACTCAAGCAAAGAAAACTTATGTCAAAACAGTACTTTTAGTACTTGAGTAAGTATACTTAGTTACTGTCATGACTGCCAGAATTTCACTTACACTGACTCTGTTCGGTCTGCTCTTAACAGAACTCTACTGCCCTCGGCGATGGTGAACGGGAGCCCATATGTAGGCCCGAAGATACTGTGGGGCTTCCTCCTCCCCCTGCTGGTGGTGTTGGTGGCCCTCCTCCCCCTCCTGACCAAGAAAGGCAGCGTCATATGCCCCCATTCCACTCATTCCACTGCCATGGATCGGACGCAGCTATCCACCCCATTTGTCCCTGGCCCCGTCCTGAGCCCCGCGGCCCACGCCTAAACCCAAGAGAAGAGGCCTGAGATACACACAAAGAAAACATGTGTTTGTTACCGACTTCAAGACTTGTACAACAGTCTTCAATGTAATATGTGGAAAATAGAAAGTCTTTAAACATATTACAAGGTAATGTCCAATAAACAATCATGGTCTAAATCATGGGGTGCAGCTTCTTCTTTCATTGAACTGCCTGAGCAGCAGTTTCGATTTTGATCAGATAATACGTGAGACTTCCTTAAAGGGACCTATTATCAGGGCTGCACATAACTTTCTCAGTCAGGGGGTGTTTCTCAATGTCGAGGACGCTTCCTTGGTAGTACATGTCTTCCGAGTCAGGTCCTTCAGAAGCGAGGCAAGAATCCTTCCTAGCCTCGGAAAACGAAGAATGGTGGAACAGGCTAACAGGTGTGCGTCATATGCGAGGCCCCGCCTTAAATGGTGCGCGATTTCTGCCAAAGATTTGGGAAATTGGTCCGTGCGCAAAGCATTGTGGGGATTTTAAGACCGCGGAGGATACACATGTGCAGCCTCGAAATTTCCCGCAACGAAGGACGCCGGCCTCGGTAGAATTCCAAGGATCCTGGACATTAGAACAGTCCTTCGGCAGGACTCGATGACGTAGCATCCTTGAAATAGTGGCTCTGGAGGAGCCTTCCTCGACATTGAGAAACACCCAGGTACTCAGCTGAGCGTGCCGTGAACGTTGTGATCAGACGATTTTGTGCAGTTCTCCAGTGTGTACGCGGGGCACAGAATGTGCACAGGGGAGTCTCCCTCCGCAGCCGGTTTGCGTAATTTTCCGACGTTAACAGTAACCCCGTTTGTGCACGGCCTTCTGGACGCGTCGGTACGCAAAGGCGCTTAGTGACACAAGTGACTGAACGCATTTCAGATTTTTGACGCGCATGCGTACCTGCGTACCAGTTATGTGCACCCCTGCCTATTATGCTTTATGGTGTTTTCCCTTTCCTTTAGTGTGTTATATGTGACGCTCTGTTATTTAAAGGAGCCCAAAGCAGAGTCTGCTTAAGGTAAGGTTTTCAAGGTGTTTAATAAAAAATGCTAACAAAAAAGGCAGGCCCTGATGGCAGGAAGATAGCTGGTTAGCTGAAAAATATCCGGTGAGAAGAGAGAGTTGTCCAAGGAAAAAACACTAGAGTTGAGAGTTGGCTCAAAATAAGAGCTCTGGAACAAAGAGAGGCCCTCTCGTTCATCCAACTACATGAGGCGCGTTCACACAGGAGTACCTTTCCCCGTAATTTTTCCGTTTAGTTCCGTTAGTACCCCTTATGTCGCGTTCACACCAAAAAGAGAACTTGGTGCCGGGAACTTTTACCCCCATTTTTAGTGCCTGCTGAGAGGTGGTATTCTCCTCGCAAATTGCAAACCACGCCCCGTAAAACATTTTATCATCCTCGCATTAGCATTATTAGCATTAGCATTCGCCCAGCGCACAAACGCAGAGAGACTAACTTATGGCAACACAAAAGGGGACTTTGGGTGGCAGTATGCGCCGTGAAGTTGTTTGCGGCCTGCCAGTAAACCCAAAGCAGAAGAAGAAGTGACGCCAGCGGCTCATTTGCGTAATCTTCCCTCAGGGAACTTATTCCGATGTGAACGCGATCGGCTCTTAGTTCCATGGGGGAACTAAGTGCTGGGAACTAAGTGCTGGGAACTAAGTGCTGGGAACTAAGTGCTGGGAACTAAGTACGGCAAAGTACTTGGTGTGAACGCGGCTATGGAATCATCTGGCAGAGTAGTGGAGTGAGGACTGGGCTTTTATGGAGGAGGAAGATGAGGTGATTGGGAAGAGGTGTGCCTCATCTGCAGCCAGGAGAATGCCAGCCACGCCCGCTGCCACATTCAAGCCCTGCAGAGAAGGGATGGGGAGGGGAGAGAGCAGAACCTTAAAAAACACTACAAAACCAAAACCAATGATGAAAAATAACATTATATAGGTTTTTGTGCATGTAAATGGTTTCCAAAGGCTAAAATCCCAAAGTTCCTCCAAGGGGAGTTTCTCTCAAACCCACTGACAAATTACATCACTCTGTAAAACTCATACCTCTGTTGTCATAGCTCCAACACAAAGTACGTGAAAGGCTAAGGGGCGGGACATCTCTAAGAAGTTGACCAATCGCAACAGAGCCGACCAGCGAACCAACCAGAGCAGACTGGGCTTCTGGACTGGTTTCAGAAAGAGGGGGGAAAGAGGTGCTGCAAAAGTAATGATTAATGAATTAAAAATAAAGCCATTTTTTTACATTAAAGCATGTTAACATGTCAAAGTAGAGGCACAACATACAGATATTAACCTGAAAATGAGCATAACAGGGCCCCTTTAATGTTCTTAACCTGAATCCTATTAACAAAGTCCCTACAGACGTCCTGTTATATCTCACAAGTGTTGTAATCCAGCATTCTAAATGTTTGACATTGTCCCAATGACTTTTATATGCAGTCTGGATTGACCCATTGGATAGTATGTTGTGTATAACAAATACGCCTAGGCTAGAATATGAACACGGTTCTCTTCAACAACATTTTTAATCTTCATCTGTTCCGTAGCACTTGGAGTCTCATCAGGTTCCCAGAATGCACTGCAGACAATCAGAGTTTGATGCATAGTTTGATTCTTAAAATAATGAAAACCCGGGCCACTCTCCGGACAACTTGACCAAAGCATGAACGTGCTTTCTCCTTTTTGTAGTGTAACAGTTCTAACCCCTGATGTTCCATCTTAAAACTGTAATCACAATAATTTGGTTTGATTTTCTACTGACTTTAGTGTTTTCTAATATTTGCGCAGTCGCTCTCTAGCTACTCCTGCCCCTATGTCGTTTTGGGAACCCCTTTTCCATCAAGCTATCAGCCATCAATCATAGGGCCTTCTGTCCTTGCATGAACCCTCCTACACACACAAAGACACACACACACATGAAGTTACACACAAACATATCTGATGCATCCACTGGGCGGACACTGTTCACACCTTTACAATTATTTTACTGGTTACTAATGTGGCAGCGGCCACAGAGGGGAGGATAGGTGAAGGTATTTGTTTAAAGTTAGTTTGATTACACAATTCACAATTCCGACTACGCCACCTTGGGAGTTTCACTGAAGGAAATATTAACAGGTTTTCAGTTATAGATAGGAAACAAAGGTTTGAATACTAATTGGGCAGGAGACGCATCATCAATTCATCAAAAATATATTATTTTATTAAGCACAAGTCAATAGTTAAAATGCAGTTTAAAACAGTCACACAGGGCTATAACACAAAGGGGGGAATTAATTAGGGGCTGAGGCTTACCAGTGGGGGGATAGGGTCGACGAGTGAGTGGAGGGATCCCCAACAAACCAAACTTAAATCATCCCAGTCATACGTGCAGGAAATCAAATCCCGGGGGAGCACATCACACACAAAAGAAGGGAGGGACACCAGCACCACCACCTTCAGCTCTCAGTAACTCAATTGGGGAACAAAGAGGGAAACACAGTTAATGGGATCAAACTACGTAAATCAAATAATAAACAAACACAATATCAAATATGTTTTCATAAACAAAATATGATAAAAACCTATATAAACACTTACAATAAAACAAATCACAAGAGAAAAGGTTCAGTCAAACAAAATAAACAATTAACTAGAACAAAATAAACAAACTGGTGTAAATCAAGTGGCCAAAGTAATGACAAATTATAGAGGGAGTTAGCCCCAGAGTTCAATTTATTTGTATTTATTCATTTATTTAACAGGGACAGTGCACATTAATTCACATTGCTGTAAATGAGCTATTTTTCATCTGTAGTCCCTGGACGGATTTTATAAGTCAACCTAAAACACATTTAATTTTAAACAAGTAAATACAATCAAATTAAAACATGCAACATACATTACTGGAATACTTAAATAAAAGAATAAAAAGACAGAACAATAAAACAAAAACAAATAAAACAAAAGAACATGTTAAAACACAGGCAGTGGGTTGTAAGGAGCAGAAGATTGTGTCAGTGTTGGCAGAGCTGATTCCTCACTAACCATGTTTTGAGTTGGGATTTAAATAAACTAAACGTCGTCTGGTCTGATTGTAGATGTGATTGAGTTCCATTGCTGAGCAGCTTGAACAGAAAATAGGGGCGTTCACACCAAGTACTTTTCCCACAGTAGTTCATGAGAACTTTAGTTCATGAGAGCTCTTTAGTTCTGATGAACTAAAGCAGATCGCGTTCACACCAAAATGAGTTCCTGGGGGTGGATTAGGCAAATGAGCCGCTGACGTCACTTCTTCTTCTTCTGCTTTGGGTTTACTGGCAGGCCGCAAACAACTTCACGGCGAGTACAGTAGGTGGCGGTATGCACGTTAAAGTTGCAATTCGCCAAAAAACCGAGAGAAGAAGAAGAAAAAAAAATTCCGCTTCCGCTGTATGCTTCTGTTTACCTTCCGACCTCAGACACGGTATGGAGTTGACGTTTTGGTGGTCGTGTTATACAGCTTCGTAACTGAGTTATTTAAGCCAATAACTCAGCCACAAATACAAATACAGATCAACCATTCAAATGCAATAGAAATGCTGAGTCGGAGGCGAAGGCGGTTAAGAAGCCTTAACAAAAGGATTGGGCGACGAAAGCACACGCTATGGACATGTTTCACCGTAGCACAGCTGAGGATGATGGCCGTTATCACGCCCAAAGAACAGCAATGGTACGTTCATTAAATCACATTAATACTATCTAATGTAGGATTTATGGAGTTATGTAGGGCTAATTTGTGTCTTTGTATGTGTTCCAGATATGCGAATACTACGGAACGCGTCGTGTCCCGCGCTCTCTCTGGGTGAACAATAGAACATCGGCCTGGTGGGAGAAGGTGGTGCCAACGTACACCAATGTGCAGTGGATCAAAGATTTCCGAATGTCCAAGGGCTCTTTTCAACTCCCCTGTATTCGCCTGAAAGCAACGTTGGGGAGACGCAACCTAAAAAATCGCTGCGGGGCAAGACACGCGCACAGCCCTTATGTGGCATCTGAACAGCATGGAAATTGTAAATTGACAATAAAGCTGATCTTTTGTACAGTGCATTTGGTTCTCTCTTTTATTTACCACAGTCAACAGACACAATTACAATAGTGCAGACACACCTTAGTG